TCTCTTAATCGAGATTCTGATCTCCGCCTGTTCTTCAGCCTGCACCCGCACCGTGACACTATTAAAGTTCTCAGTCAAGAGCAGTGATTTCCTCTGTGTTTTGTTGTTTAATTAACCTTAAATAGATAGTTTTCCCAAAAATTGTAATTGTCATAATTTACTCTCTCAAGTTGTTTTAAACCTGAATAAGTTTCTTTCTTCTGTTTAAATTATTTGGAAGAATGTGGGTAACCAAACAGTTGATGTACCCCAGTGATTTCCATAGTAAATTTTTCCCTATGGAAGTCAATGGGGACCAGCAACTGTCTGGTCACCCACATTCTTCAAAATATCTTCTTTTTTGTTCAGCTCAAGAAATAAATGAATACAGGTTTGGAACAACATTTACAGTGAATAAATAATGACAGAATTTTTATTTTGGGGTCAACTATCCCTTTAAGAACAAGCAGCTGCATTTTTATTATTAGGGCTACTGTCACTTTAAGACCTGTACGCGACACGTCTAATATACACGGAGCATTTGACAAGCAGATTTCTCTCAATTTTCTCGGTTTGCTTTTAGTTTAGACATAACCAAATGTTCTTATGTAAACCTTGTGTGTATTTGAGAGTATTAGCGAAATAATACTCGAAAGATAACTTAGTCCAGCAACCAGGCGCTGTTAGACAAGCTTTTAGTGCATGTGCACGTCGGGTGTTCGCGATCAGAACAGCACATCAGCAGTGAATGACATGTTTAACCGGCAAGGCTTTAAAGCACATGCAAATTAACTTTTGTGAACTCGCTGAACAGATAGCCGTTCCTCTGTGTTAATATTGCGAGTATTTGTGGCGTTGTACACTAATGCTGTTGAGACGGCGGTGTCAGGACTGCAACTGACAGAATGCACGATATAGCTGCTACATATTTCTACAAAAGCAGTCAGCAGCTTGCTTGGAGCAAGGATCATAGCGCAAATTTGAAATATATCGATATATCGCCCAGCCCTGGTGACCTAACTGTGATGTTGTCAACTGACAACGATACCAGCGAGAGAGCGACTAGAGATACGAAATTGAGCAGGTGAACAAGTCAAGTCAAGTCAAGTCAAGTCACATTTATTTATATAGCGCTTTTCACAATACAGATTGTATCAAAGCAGCTTCACACTGATAACATGAAAGTAGTACAACACAGATCAACAACATTGCTAAACACTAAATAACCCCAACTGAGCAAGCTCAAAGCAAGCCAAAAGCAAGGCGACAGTGGCAAGGAACCAAACTCCATCAGATTGGATGGAGAAAAAACCTTGGGAGAACCCAGGCTCAGTCGGGGGCCAGTTCTCCTCTGGCTTACATTCATATTGTTTAAATATAAATATTAAATATAAATATTGTTTATGAATAAAACGGCGCCATAACATATCACAGGCGTTGAGTCGTCTCTTCACAGGCGTTGAGTCGTCTCATCACAGGCGTTGGGGCATCCGAAATCCCGGTGAGAGGCTGGACACAAAACTGGACCTGACGAACGCCATTTTTCTCGGGACAAGCGTCCCGAGATAACAGCAGAAAGGCAGATGGGAAATAATTAGCATAGCTGATGTTCATAATGATTTCCGTTATAACTCACAAACTCTCCCTAACCTGAACTCTCCGCAACCCAACCATACGCGCCGACCCGTTTGTCTAAAAGGCTGTCGAGCCCCACTGGTGCGTTAAGCAGTTTCAGTGGCAAACGGTTCCGTATGGCATAACAGAGGACTAAAAGGTAAGCATTATGTGAATGCTTGACTAAAGAGATGCGTCTTTAATCTAGTTTTAAACTGTGTCAGCGAGTCAGAGGCTCGGACCGTATCGGGAAGGCCATTCCAGAGTTTTGGAGCTAAATGCGAGAACGCCCTCCCTCCTTTACTGGACTTCGATATCCTAGGAATGACCAGAAGCCTTGAATTTAGTGATCTTAAGGAACGCGGTGGATTGTAGGGCGAAAGAAGGTCCGTTAAGTACATAGGTGCTAAACCATTTAGGGCTTTATAGGTCAGTAGCAGTATTTTGTAATTGATACGGAACTTAATAGGTAACCAGTGTAGAGATGATAAAATCGGTGTTATATGATCATATTTTCTTGACCTAGTAAGAACTCTAGCAGCTGCATTTTGTACTAACTGTAGCTTGTTTATTGAGGATGCAGGACAACCAGCTAATAAAGCATTACAGTAATCTAGTCTCGAGGTCATGAATGCGTGAACTAATTTTTCAGCATCAGAAATAGATAGCATGTTACATAGCTTAGCAATGTTTCTAAGGTGGAAAAAGGCTGTTCTTGTAACAAGCTGAACCAATTAGACATTCTCTGGCTGAACGCAAATACGTCCTTGTTGATACTTTGAAAGGAACTTTCTGTACGCACGTCAGCCAGTTATGGGTTATGTCCTCATATTCTCTCCTTTTCACTCCGGCTGCCGACACCCGTCCCCCTCTTTTTTTTTTTTTTTTTACAGATCTGCATGATTCACGTAGGTCACATTTTCAGGTCGGAAAATCCGGAATTCCGGATTAATCCGGAAAAATCACATCCCTGATGAAAGCAGCCTTCTCAGTGATTTTCATGGTTTTAATATATAAGCCAACTGCATTCCAAAATACATAAATAATGCCTCTGTGAAGCATTTGTAAGGAAAATTCCCGCGGGAGAGAACGCGCACTGCAAGTGTAACGTTATAACATCAAGCAAAGCGGCAAAACCTGTTCAATGAAGCCCGCGAATGTCCTTGTAATTCGGTTCAATCCCGAACTTTATGAAATAACGTTACTATGTTTTGGAAGGTTCGAGCGGTGTCGTGTGTGTGTGTGTGTGAGTGAGGGAGAGAGAGAGCGAGAAAATAGAAGCAAGCAGATTCAGAACACGGTTCGTTTCAAAATCTAAAGCACGCGCAGCGTCATCACGCATCTGTGTTTAAAAACTAAGCTCATACTCGATTCTGAAATTCTCTGAATCGATCCAGGATTGTTGAGGTGAGGAGAGAATAAATAACACAATATCACATGCACTAAAAATAAACTGTTCTTTTCTGGACGCCAGACCGCGTAGCGTGGCAAGTTGATGCTTTATCTTGCAGACTGCTTTTCTCTCGCGTGTCACGTGACCAGTTTAATCGCAGCTCTTGCGATTACAAAATCGTGTTTCATCATGTCGCGATTTTATCGCAAATGCAATTAATCGTTCAGCCCTAAATGGGATGCTTATGCAGGCAGGGGCGTCGCAACCGTGGGGGATGTGGGTGTTTTAACACCCACACTTTTCTCGGTGAGAGTGTTCAACACCCGCACTTTTTCTGCCGTTTTTCCGCAGTTTTACACAAACGCCTTCCTACAGTCGCTCCTCCGTTTCTCTGGCGCTCAGTGTGTGTGTGTGTGCGCTCGCTGCGGCTGTCTCCTCTCAAACATGACACCGGCTTTGAGTGTGTCCGGCTGATGATTGGCTGTTCTGCCTTAAGTCCCGCCTCTCTTGATGTGTTAGATGTAACCTATCGGTCAGCTCGTGCTGAGGAGGCGGGAACTTATGGTTGTTTACATCTCCCTTTTCCAGGGGTGTATTCCAGAAAGCTGGGTTAATTAACCATCAGATTAACCCTAAACTCTGGGTTGATTAACCCAAAACCTGCTTACTCTGGGTATGTCGGTTCCAAAACACCTGTGTCGAGTTAGTTTAATCAACCTACTGCTAATAACCTCGAGTTAATGCGCGCGCCCGGCGAACATATAAAGGCATTTTCAATGGATCACCGAATTCAGGAGTCACCATGGAAACTAAGGGTGAAAAGTCACATGCCGCGTACTTCTCTGAAGGTGAATTAGAAGTTTTAATGTTGGCTTATGAGGAGTACAAGCCCATTATCATGAAAAAAAGCAACACAGCTGCATACGCAAAGGAAAGACAATTGGCTTGGCAAAAAATAACTGACAGAGTAAATGCGTACGTTTTTATTTTTATTTTTTTTACTTTTTTAATATGCTTGCCTTTCTTTTGTTCATTTGCAAAGTTGAACAATTGTCTTTTTTAGCATGTGGCATTACTTGACAAGCATGTACTTTTCTTTACATCAGTTTCTTAAGAATACAGTACAATGTATATTGTCATGAAATATAGGCCTCTTGTTTTATAAGGTGTAATCCTTCTGGAGCCAAAAGAACTCTTAACCAAGTCAAAATGAAACACAAAAATATTCTTCAAAAAGGTAATATTTTATTTTAATTGTTTTAAGATCAATGTCTAAAGTTACTTTTACAGTATTCTTTCTATATAGCTAATAGAAAGAAGGCTGAGGCCCGTCTAACTGGCGGGGGTCCACCTCCACCTCCTCTCACTCCATCGGAGGAGTTGGCTCTTTCTCTTAATAAAGGTCGCCCTGTGGTCGATGGTATTCCAGAGGGCACTTCGTCAGAATTTGCTTCCTCCCACAACAACTCAAGTGACTTGGTACAATGTAGGTATACCATAGTACTTGTGATTATTTAATCATATGTTTGGACAAAACAATCCTTAACTCTTGTCATTAGAAAGAAGGCTAAATGCTTCCCAAATGCAGTCATTGTTTCACTTGTGCATTATGGATACATATGAAGAGTTCAGATGCAAAAGCCTCTAAGTGCCATTTGAAATTTTCTTCTAGAATGATCATTTTTATCAAGCTTGTATATTTAAGTTCAGTGATTTCACTTAAATTGCAATGATAATTACCTATTAATTGTTATTTAAGTGAAATTACTGAACTTAAATATACAAGTTTGATAAAAATCATCATTAAAGAAGAAAATTTTAAATGGCATTTAGAGGCTTTTGCATCTGAACTCTTCATATTCTCTTTTTCAGCATATGCTGTATGTATACAGTAATCTTTTTTTATTCTTGCATGTTCCTAATGCCTTTATTCAGTGTCTGTCATACTTTAGTCATTTACACATTGAGTGTCTTTTTTTTCTTGCAGTTGCTGATGGATGCATTGTATTATTGGATCCTCCTGAAACCACACAGTCTGTCACAATTGTTAGTGATGCATTTTAAGAACCAGTTGCTTTTAGATCTTTCACTATGTCTGCCAGACAAAGTAACCTTGCATATTTCCACTCTAGGATGATGATGAAGAGACCACATCTGCTGTGACTGAATTAGAAAGTGCTGGGAGACCCACAGAGGTATGATGCATATATTGGACAATGCATAGCTTTTTAGATGGACTGAAAAATGTGTAATTTGTCCCGTGACAGAATGTAGCTGGGGATGTAAATGCAGATGAGGGTCCAACTACCTCTACATCTAATCTTAGCAGTGTAAGAACTTGTCCCTGGTTGTCCTTATCATATAATGTTACTATGGCTGATTTTCTTTTTTAACCATCTTATTTACTTTGCCTTCCTAGTTGTCTGCAAAGGAGCTGTATAAGGTCCATCTATTAAGGCAAATTAAAAAAAGTGGCATGGACATGGACCTTATACAGCTTCAGCAAGAGGAGAAAAGGCTGGCCATTAAAAAGGCCAAACTTGAAATCAAATTGCTGGAGCATCGCCTTAAGGTGAGAATCATATGTGAACATGAATCTTTTTTTTTTTTTTTTTTTCATGTGTGTGTATAAAGCAATTAATACAAATCTGTCATGTCTCTTTATTTCAGGATCTGGAGAAATAAAAGAAATTAAATAAAGTGATTTTGACAAATCATGTCTCTAAGCATTCTGCCATCTCTGTGGTCTGCTAGATTCATTGGGTGTTGTTCTAGGTCCTCTTCATCAGGACAGGGGGGATGCCTCTCTCCTCTTATTGTGGCAATGTTGTGAAGTACCACACAAGCGACTGTGATGTCACATGCCCTATTTGGAGTGACCCTGAGCCCACGCAGACACTGAAACCTCGCCTTCAGAATGCCTATTGTCATCTCCACCTTGGCCCGTGTTCGGCTGTGAGACCGGTTGAAGCGTGTCTGTGGTCCGGGCTCAGGATCAGGGTAGGGTGTCATCATATAGGGGAGGCAAGGGTATCCTCTGTCCCCCAGCAAGTAACCATAGAAGTGTCCTGTAATGTTTGAGGTGTTTTGTAAATGTAATAAAGACTACAAGCATTTGTCTAACAAAACGTACCCTGCTCAAATTTGTTGCACAGAGATGACTCTCTAAATATTCTGGCATCATGTACAGAACCAGGCCATTTTGCCTCAACATTAGTGATGAGGTGGGTTGCATCACATATTACCTGTGGAGAACAATAAGTTTATTATTGGTAACCCCAATATTAAGTAACAAAAAATATAGCTATTACCTGCACATTGATGCTATGCACAGACTTCCTATTAACATAGTCTCCCTCATTGATAGATGGAGCTTTAATAGGAATGTGGGTGCCATCAATGCACCCAATCACGTTTGGGAACCCTGAAATAAAGATTAATTACGAGTTTAAGAAGTCTGTGTAACCTTTTACGTGCATGTCCAGTCAAAATAAACCTATTAAGAAATGTCATTTTATTGAAGTAGATGACAGACTTTCTGAGAGTGTACCTGCCACCCTGTGGAATTCTTCTTTAATAACGCGCACAGGTTTATGGCCAGGGAACTGTACAAAAGTGTGTAGAAACCGTTTCAGTGCCATGCATACTGTACGAACGGCCCTACACACTGTTGCCTTTCCCACATGCTCTGCATCGCCCACATTGTAGAGAAAACTCCCCGTACCAAAAAAGCGCAGAGCAATACAAAGAATATGTTCGGCGCTAATCGCTGACCCGCGGTTTGTCACGTTTGCGATGTGTGGTTTTAGTAAGTTTGTTAAATAAATTAACGACTCCCTAGAAAAACGATAGCGCTCATGCAAATATTCGTCAGGATATGAAAAGACATCGATACGTGGTCTTATCACCCTCTCACGGCGAAAAAAACCCCGTATAATCTGTGCCTCTACGTCCACAGGATCCTCGTCAAAAGGGCACGCCATGCTCTGAAACCTCTCTGAAACAAACTAACCCTGCAACATAACCTACTCCGGAGCAGGTTATCTTCAGAGAGTCAGTTGCTATGGTTACTTACATAACCCGAAAGTTACTCTCGCTTTTGGAACCGAAAGCAGAGGTTATCCGCTTACTTACTCCTAAACTTACCCGGGTAAGTCACATAACCTGCTTTCTGGAATACACCCCAGGTACTTTGAATGAGTGTTTATGCTTTCGAGGTTTTTAAATAAGCTTGATATGTGTTTGGGAAGATTTTATGTTTTATTGACATGTCCAGTGTTTTCATTATTATATTTCGTATTTTTGGATAAACAGTACAAGACTTGCGTTAGGCATTCTGTTTGTAATGCTGCGTGATTTGAAAAAAAAAAACGCGCTCTTTGCTCACACGATCAGCATGGTGTTCTGTGTTTTCTCCTAAATAAAAGCTCAAGGGTTTATTTCTTACAAGTGAAGAAATTAGGACAAAAGTATTGTAATTTTGATAGCATAATATAGAATATAATGACAGACTCTATATCATAACTATAAAGATGTTTGAGCCCTCTATAGGTAAGCAACAAGTCAATGCTTTTTCGTTGTTCAATGTGCACAGGTCTGGGTCAAATCCAGTTGAAGCTCTTAATTTTGAGCTCTCAATGTGCTCCAGATTGATGCATTTAACCTTAAAATGTACCAAATTTTCTTGCGGGGGAGCATGCCCCCGAACCCCCCTAGAGGGACAGGGGTCTACGTAACATGCCCAAATTTAAATGACACATCCATCCCCCACACTTTTCAAAAGCTTGCTACGCCTCTGTATGCAGGATCCATCTGCTGTGGCACAGACACTAAACAACTATTTTGTTGATTCTATTGATACCATACTATATCCAAAATTTGTATCCATATCTGATCTGGAAAGGGTTATTACATAGTCTTCAAGAGCAAAAGACGTGTTTGGGATTGACACACTCATGCTAAAACAAATAGGTCAGTCAATTTAACGTGTCACTAGATCAAGGGAAATTTCCTGAGTCATGGAAACTTGCAAGTGTTATTCCTTTATTTAAAGCTGCAATACCTAAGATTTAGATGCCGCTAGAGGGCGCTACATTCAAAACAACAACAACGGCTTTGCTTGATGACGTGGAGGAACGCGGAATGATGGGAACTGTTGTTTTCAACTCCACCGTGGATGAATCAGTCAGACTGGAATCGAAAAATAGTTGTCATGGATGAGGAAAAAGTTCGATTTCTATAAACGTTGCGTTTAATGACATGCTTGTTTTTCATTAAACTGAAATAACCGCAAGAAAAGTCAGGTTTAAAGTAAATTAGTTACTGTACGAGTCACTGGACGAAGCTATGGTGGAGAGGGTTTGAAGGGGCAGGTCTCTTGCAAGGAGTTGACGTGGCTGGTCCTCCTTGGTAACTTTATAAAAATAAAAAATCAATTTAATGTACATTTGACACATCTTTTCATGTCGTGTAAGTATTCAACCACAGCTACAGTTTCACAAAATTAACGTTAAGGGGGTCGCACACCGGACGAGAAGCTGCAGCGCCGCGTCACATCTTTAAAATTCGAAAACATCATTATCTATAAGTGTAATGTTACACATACCGGCAGCGCCATTCGGCGTCTGTCCGCAGCGCCCAGCAACAACGCCTCAGGACCGTGTTCAAAATCCTGCTGCGCCACAGAGCGCCATTTACATAGTTTTATAAAAAAAATTATTTCGGTCTCAAATCGTTGCTAATGGATCCTGACTTCGCCCTATGCTGCAATATGCATTTAGTTTTGCAGTCATTTACAGAAATCAGCTGCTTGAATGACAATTGCTGATGTTATTATTAGATTTTTCAGGTGAGATTCTCAATTCATTCAGTGAACGGATGCTCTGAGGTAAAGTTTTCAGACTGCAGACTCAGCAACGATTGTATTTAATTGTACAGTACAATCATAACATAGAACAGACATTATCTTCATTTCATGTCATTAAACATAACAATATTGTTGGCCATATACTAATGAGAAAGTGCGCGTCCGGTGTTCGATAACGTTACTGTGGAGTTGTCCTAAACGTGGCGCGACGCTTCTCGTCCGGTGTGTGACCCCCTTTACAGCCAACAGTTCACATTCCGAGAATAAATGAAAAGAATAATTGTGCTCCATTCCATAACAAATGCGCGAAACAAGCTGACGTTTGTTGCTTGATAGACGCTAACGCACAACTACAACTACCGCATTTGTTCAGGACTACACGTAGTACGAGCGGAAACCGAGGTAAGCGAATATGACGCGATTGACTGGCGACTCCCAGCTCACCCCTGATCATACGCCCTGTTTCCTTGGTTAAAATCTCAATTTTCTCGCGATTTAAACATTGTTTGAAACATTTGGAATATTGTGAGTTATCATCATAACTAAATATATAACAATAGCCTTGTGATTTTGAGATATTTGAATGCAAAAATCTTAGGTATTCCACCTTTAAATTTGGTAACTCCCTTATTCATCTAATTACTAGTGGCACGGTACATGAAAAAACACCCGAACCGTTCGGTTCGCTTGTCTCGGTTCGGAGAGTGTGTGTGTCTCACGGTTCGACCTCGTGCCCGTATGTGACGTGTGTTTTCTTTTCGCGCGACATAAGCTTGTTCGACTTGGACCGGCGCTGCACAGAGCGACCGGTGAATAACATCAAACTAGTGCGAGAGCAACGGCTCCGTATGCTTTTCAATCACTTTCGCGGTATTTGATGTCATTACCGATCGCTCTGTGCAGCGCCAGTTCAAGTTAGTAAACAAGCCAGTAAAAGTGGAGTATGGAGCGCTGCAGGTCACGGCACGCGGAGAAATGTCAAGTGGTAGAGATGAGGGAGTTGGAGGATGTGCCAGCGTCGTATAAGTGTAAGTCCAGTGTGTGGGAACATTTTGGATTTCATGTTATGATATTTTAATATAACGCTACAGTGGCACTTTATGTTTAGATAAGAGCTTCTGTCAAATGTTTCCAAATCCTGCACTTTAATTTCAAGTGAAAAAAAAGTACCCTCACTCTCTGGGAATAGAAGCATTGTTGGTACTGTCTTTTGTGTTGAGGTTGAACTTATGTTTAACTTTATGTTTATGGCCTTTGCTATTGCTATAGCTAATTATAGGCAATGAGGTTTCATGTATATTGACTTATTCATAAAAGACAGTGTTTTAAGAGTTCCTCTTTTTTTCTTTTAAAGGTGCCATCTGTAAAAATTGAGGTTAAAATATCCCAAAAATGAGCTACACACATCAAAAGATTGAGAAGAAATAAGGTTGATGATGTCATTAAAAAACTGACAAGTTATAGTGCTGCCGAGATATTAACCCAGCCAAACTGCAGTACACGAGTGAGTCGCGCTTGCGCCGGCTTGTGTGTACTTGAACCTGATGTCAGTCGTGTGGAAATACAGCATAGCTGTCAACATTGAACACTGAAAATAAGGGAGTTTTCCCGGAATCCATCCCCAAAATAAGGGATTTTTTTTTACACGATTCTTACCCACAACCTTAAAAAATAAAGCACTAATCCTTAAAGTCTAAAGAGTTAATAACTAGCCTAGAAACTAGTGTCATTTAAAGAAAAAAAATCTACATTTGGATTAGCGGTGTGTTGCTCTTGCCTTTGCGACAACAATTTCAACTGTTATCACATCTTCCAAAACCCACAAAATAGGGAAGTGGGCTGTCTGTTTATTTCAATTACATTTACACATTTTGTGTAGTTTTAAAGAGCCTATATTTAGCCTGGTGGTGGACCGTCACTCAGAAGACACACTGTTGTTATTGTAGCCTATCGTATCTTTATATCTTCCTGAGGCCCAGAACGTTTTTTTCCAAAAGTTTTTTCTTCTTCTTCGTGTAATCACATTGTTAAGAGCATAAGAAACAAATGAAAAAAAAAGAAAAGATATTTTATTCATATGTTATATGACCTTAAATTATATATAGGCAAAACTAATGGCAATATAAATCGATTATTATAATTATTATTTGTTTAAATTACATTGATATCTGAATTTATGTAAAAACCTTGACTTTCAAACATCAAAATGTAAAATGTAGGCTATTCGAGTACAAAATGACATATAAACATCGTTTCCTATTTTTTTATTTATTTTTTTGCCTGGAAACGCTTTCAACACGCTTGCATGTCGCTTGAAAAAATAGGCGTCAGTTCTATTTCTAGCATGCACGCGTTTTCAGGCAGTGTGCAAGCTCTAATCTGTTAACATGGGAGCCGAAATAAAAACGGACATGCCACACAGCCAGTGTGTCTCCGGCCAGCGCGCGCGGCGCCGCATCCGAGGATAAACGACTTCAAGCCGAATCAGCCCGAGCTCGAACGTCTCACACAATCATAGTAAAAAAACGGGATATTTTACGGGAAGATACTAAAACGGGAAGACAGCGGGAAAAGAGCAAAAATACGTGAGAAACCCGGAAAAAACGGGAGGGTTGACAGCTATGAAATACAGCCCACTACTAAATTTCAGTTCAGGGAAGAGTTAAAAAAATGATTGGTCGATATTATGCACGAGGAATACATTTTGGTAAGTTGTAACATACTGTATCTTTCAACAGTGTTCGTGTTCTTTTACCATTAGCTAGTAGAGATGAT